CCCATTTTTTTTCTTTTTTTTTTTTTTTTTTTTTACACACACATGTGAAGTAAAATAGGGAGAGGGGGGGTTGGAAAGAAGTTCACATTGTGTGAAGGAATTCTCCCTCTCCGATTCTACACTGCGTGGTGAGACACTCCTCTGCTGTCACACGCATTTCACATGAATGTCGAATGAATGTCACATGAATGTCGAATAAATGTCACATGAATGTCACACGCATCTCACTTGAATCTCCTCCGGCTTGCAAAAGTCCATGGAAAACGTATCGAACTGTATCCTATCGTTGGGGGTGACAACTATGGGGTGTCCCCTCGTGTGGATGAACCTGTGAAAGGGAGAGTGAAGGCAGCAAGGTGGGGGGAGGGGAACAGATGGGCCGACCAAATCACCACACACATGGGTATGGAGTAAACACGTAGAAGAAGCATCGCTGTTGAAAACTTCCCCTCCAAGGTGTGGTAAGTCTCTTACCAAGCCAAGCCAAGGTACAACTTCCTCCACGTGAAATGAATATACTTTTGTTCAAATTCTTCTGACTTAAAATCAAACAGGAGATATTCCAAAATTTTTCTTCTAATGAAATGAAACTTTCCATCGATGTCGCCCATCCTCATTTGGTTGATATACATCCCTAAGGGGGGGAGGGCACGACGCGCGCGTAGAGTCAGTGGTTTGTGTGTGGCTGTGATTGGTGTTGACTCGTCCTCTCTTCAGGGATGATCTTCATTTCGTCTTTTTTTTTTTTTTTTTTTTTTTTTTTTTTTTTTTTTTTTTTTTTTTTTTTTTTTTTTGTCAACTGTACTAGCCGATCTGCGCTTCGAAACTCGGACTTACCCAAAGGCATTCCGTGCCACTCGCTGGGCCACGTGTCTTCACCTGTGTAACGCGTAGCGGCATATGTGCGGCGGACAACATGTAGCGTGAAATGTGTGTAACGCGCGGCGGAGGCACTCACTCGGAACGACGAACGACGGATCCACAAGGTTAAAATCGACGAGGTCCAACTTGTTCTGTCCTTGGTCCGTCTTGAACCTCTCGTACCTCTCTCTGTTCAAGTCGTAGTACAAGTCCTGGCGAAGACGTGGAAGGAAAAGTTCAGTGGGAACCCATTTTATATGCTTGAGAGGAGATCACACGTCCATTGGACCAACTAGTGTATGTACACACAGGACGCTCTTGTGAAATTCCTTACGTTGAAATAGACAAGGGCTTCTACGAAGTCACCAAAGGACCTGCGACGGGGCGGCACATGGCGTGAACGAAGGAAAAAATGAAGAATAAATGAAGCCCCGCCGAAATGGCTACATTGGTAGGGTTCGCAAAAAGGCAGGGGGACACGGACCATTTGTCGAAGTCATACGCGTGGGCTCCTTCCGTCTCCTTCCGCGTGTACAGCAAGAATTTTTTTTCTTTCGGGTTCAGCTCTGAAAAAAAAAAAAAAAGGGTACACAGTGCGTTAGTCAATTGCGGCAGATCGCCAACCGATCGCTCGAATGGATGACCGAATGCAAGGTGTACCGTTCGAAAGGGAAGGTCTGCCGTTGACAAAGAAATCATACTCAGCCCCGTGAGTCCTCTTATACTTCAGCACAAATGAAATGTAATCATCCACGTCCTTATCATTATGGTTGTTATATATATGTTCATAGTAGAAATTATAATTGGATTTGAATGTCTCGTCCTGTTTTAGCTTTTCCAACACCTCTTTCACTATTCCCTTTTTCCTTGTGGCTTTGTTTGAATAGGTGGGGAGGACGTTCTGTTGAAGGAGCAAAATTGTGCCAAGTGGGGGAACATGGTTCAGCGATATTGTTGCACGGAGAGATCGTGGTGGTGAAAGGCCTGTCGACTTTCATACATGTACTTTTGTTAATGCGCATTGGACGGTCCAGGTGGCTTCCTTTTGTCCCATTTTTGTCCTTTTTTTTTTTTTTTTTTTTTTTTTTTTCCTTTTTTTTTTTTTTTTTTTTTTTTTTTTTTTTTTTTCTGCTGACCTGTTCAGCTATTTTTGGAATGAACTTGTACGACGCGAGAAAGTCCTTCACGTCTTCGCCCCCCTTGTCTGGAGTGGTGATGTGACGAAGCGGTGATGTGAAGAAGCGGCGATGTGAAGAAGCGGTGATGTGAAGAAGCGGTCGAGTGGTGACGCGGTGATGTGAAGAAGTGACAACGACACGTCGCGTGTCCGCGGGCATACCCTTCGACTTTCTAACGTAAAGAGAGAACAGTTCCTTCCTGACCTCCTGCCGCTCATCAAAGTCGTAATGGACGTTTTCCTCCGCTGCACGGGTGATTAAAAAAAAAAAAAAAAAAAAAAAGGACAGGGATGGAAAGATAAAGGAGGACATAATATATAGGCAGGCAACTTCTCTTAAAGAGAGGAGTATAATTTGACGAAGCCTCCACTTGTGCTAACGATTTATACTTCCTTGCAGAGTGGGGGTTGTTTTTTTCCTCAATAGAGGGGGGACTTTTTTTTTTGTGTGTGTGTAAAACTTACTGGACAAATTTGACATTGTTGTTATTTCTGCGTCGTCCTTTTCGAAGTCCTGCATTTCGGCTGGGCCTGCGGAAGGGACGCAAGAGGTGCATCAGGTGTGGTAATAAATAAGTGGGTCCACACACCGTGCCGCATCCACGCGACAACGTCATCACGTCATCACGTCATCACGTCACCGCTGCTCACTAAATATGGTCTCCAGAGGGAAGTTCATCTTTTTAAGAACAAAGTAAATGTACTTCTTCTTCTTTTCGCTCTTCTCCTTTTTTATGTCCTGGAGCTTCTTCCAAAGTTTAAAATGTTTTAAGTCTACCGTTGGGGGGGGGGGGGGGGGGGGGGGAGGAGGACAGGCAGGACGTGCACAAAGAGGTGTGTGCATACAAATGTACGCATGTAAGACTATCCGATTTACTATACCAACTCACCTTCATTGTCCTGCGATTTCAAGACGTAATTCTCCGGGACGACCATGCTGTTATGTTCTTTCTTTGAAGATAAAAAAAAAAAAAAAAAAGGGGGGAGTGGGAACTTGTGACCGATGCAGCTACGTTTTGGAGGACGCCCCGTCCACACGAGCAACACATATTCGTTCATTGAAAGAGAGGGTTGCCTCATTTACCTGAAACTCCATCAGAGCTAACACGATCAAGTTAATCGTGGAAATGTCTTTCTGCGTGACGACTATGGGGGGGGGGGGGGGGAAGGGTAGAGAAAGATACAATTAAGTAGAAGAAAAAAAAAAAAAACAAAAAATGATCGCAATGACGACAACAACAACAATAATAATAATAAACCGTGACGTCCCGTCTGCATTGTCGCGCCATTTTTTTCTCCTTTTTTTTTTCCCCCGTTCGCGCATAAATATGATTTACCATCTTCAAAAACTATGCTTTTCTTCCTGGCCCGAATTCTTTTTTTCCTCCTGGGTACGGCATACTTGGCGTTGTTGCTCTTGTGTGTAATGTAGGAGGGAACAGGCACGCAGACTTTGGTGTGTGCTTTGGGTATTTTACTCAGGAGGACACAGAACAACGTAAGGGGCAAGATGCTGCGCATGATGTGGGTGAGAAGCGGTGGGGAAAAAGCTACACACCGCTAGGAGGTAACCTCTAAAATGGATGCTTCTCCGATGGGTGGCTCTTCACCCCAACCACGAGACGAAAAAGGAGCATCTGGGCAACTGCGCTAAGGAGAGCAAATGGAATGATACACTTGTGGAAGTATATACAGGAGCCACATGCACGG